GAAGAAGACCCCCGGACCAACATAATGGGATTATAGTTTATTCGCTGACCTGGGCCAACGAAGAACTATTTTAAAGAGAACAAGTACAAGTCAGTGTGTTTCATCTGACCTCTTTATTATTGTATGCCCAAGCTAGCGTCATTATTTTTATTACTTTGCCACACACTCCTGGTAAACTAACATATTGGGTAGACAGACCTCTACAAATTCGGTAAGCCCGAGTATTTCTAAATATTTTTTTGAAAGCTTTTCATTTCAATTCATCGTAATTTTGTTTCTTTTGCCAGGCAATTATGGAGGCACACTTTGATTCAGCGGATTTAGTCGGGAATGCGAATAGCATACGTTTGCCAGACTACAATCCACGCAACCCCAGGGTACGGTTTCACCAGGTGGAGGCCGTTTTTACTACCCCACGCATCAATTTTTAAGCCACGTGAGTTTCCTATGTTGTCCAGCATCTTCCTTGTGATGTAGCAACAGAATTGGGAGATCTGTTAGAAGATAATCCCAAGGAAAACTGACGCCCTTCAAGCAGCCGTCATAAGTTGGACAGGGACTGCAGAAAACAAAATGCTACGGGATCTATTCACCACTGTCGAACTTGGGGGCAGATCGCCATCACAAACGCTTCGCCACATGCGCAGTCTCCTCTGCAGCCGTAAGCTGGCGGTGGAAATCATGGCCCAACTGTGGCTCGACAAACTTCCACCCTCCATGTCCCACTTCATCAGTGCTTTCGTTGATGACCACAGCTTGGAGCAGCTAGACCAAATCGCTGATAAAATCCACGAAGCACTATCCCCGTAAACTCCGTATCCCGCCCTACACCCACTGGTTCCACAGATTCCGATCTGATTCAACTACAATCTGAATTTGATACCTTGACCGATCGACCCCAAAGGCTGGAGATCAACAAGCATCGACCATGTTTACGATCCCAACCGTCGTCTCGTAACCGTCCCACTTGGTGCTGGTATCACTAAACTTTCGGTCCTCAAGCACGCAATTGCCGACCGCCTTGTTCCTCCAAGCTGCGTTCCATCACCCCTTTAAACAACCCAGCCGGTCAGTAACGGCGAATGCTGTCCGTGACCCTCCTCGCACTAGTCGCCTATTTCACATCACCGATCGTTCAAGCGGTCCACCTTTCCTCTTAGATACGGCAGCTGAAGTTAGCGTGCTGCCATGTCAGTACACCCTGATTGGATTATTGCTTATTCGCTGACCTGGGCCAACGGCGAACTAGTTTAAAGAGAACAAGTACGAGTGAGTCTGTTTCATCTGACCTCTTTATTATTGTACACCCAAGCTAGCGCTATTATTTTTATTCCTTTGCCACACACTCCTGGTGAAGTAGCTTATTGGGTAGCCAGACAACTACACCAGCAACCATTTTCGCATCGGTTTCCTGGACGCCTTTCGTGCGTCCTGAAAAGACAATTTGGTTAGCGCACTCAACGAGCTGTGACTTGGGCCCCATTGGGAATTTTGGATTTCATGCGAGTAGTACGAGAGAAGTTGCGCCGAATCATCCGTAAAACGACAAGTGCTTTTTGGGCCGATTTCTGATGGCGCAGTTAGAAGGACGATTTTAAAAAGCCAGCTACCCAAATCCATTTGGACGTTTATCCCTATGAGGTTTCCTGGTCCCTACTTACCATGTGTGACAAAGACATTCGCTGGGTCTCCTCCAAACGACAGATGGACGCACTTATCGTCATTCAGATGAAGGTGCCAGTCCAATGACCACTGCTTTGAAGCGTCTACATCTATTTGGGGAGCACTGGCATTGCAACTCCAGGATTTCAAGTCGTCCGCAAAACGAAGGCGTGGATTCGCAAGAACATCTCGAAGATTATTGACATGAATCAGAAACAGCACTGGTCCCAAAACGGAGTATTGAGGGAGTCCAATTGGCGCCGGTGCTGGAGAATAGTAGGTAGAACCTACCCTCACTCGGAATGACCCATCTTAAGGGAGCGCTTTCGTTCAGTGTAGGATTTTCTCTCGAATCCATTAAGGCTCGAGTTTGTAGAGTAGCAGAACGTGTGGGACTCTATCAAATACTTTCGAGAAGTCGAAAAATGTGACATCTGATATAGGTTCCTGAGTCTTGGCTTGAATTGAGCTGCTTGGGTTAAGCTGTCCGTGAACTCGAGCATGTTTGTCACGCAAGAGCGGTTTGGGAGAAATTCGTGTTCAGATGGAGATATCAGATTGCTGGAAGTAAGGTGATTTAGGATAGCTCGCCTCATCTTACATGGCACGCTAGTGAAGCCTGTAAGCCTGTAGCCCCCAGGCAATAGTCTATCACCAGTTTTGTAGATTGGCGTGACAATCGCTTCCTTCCAAGCGGAGGGAAGGCCCCCTTCGTCAAACGACTGACGAAACACCATGTGTAAATGGTTTGCCAGTGTGGAGGACGTTTCCTTCAGGATCC